GTTCCGAATCGGAAGGTAGCGACGATTTTCTTGGACGAAAATCAGAATCTTACAAAAAACCATCTCTTCAAAATCTGGATTAGTCGCGGGTAATAAAACGAAAAATGCTTGTTTAAATGACGCTGACCCTAAAGTGAGGGATATGCCACACCCAGCCGAAACAAATTGGGGTATACGATCGGATCTAACATATGACATCAATCATCGTAGCCACGCGCGCCGGTTGACTAGTGAACAGGCTGAAAATCAAGACGACGAACCATCAATTCTAAAATCCGCAGGCACCAGCGGACAGCCGGGACCCTCTGGATTGTTATTCCAGCGAACCGGAAACCGAAACCTAAAAAGGTATAAACAGCTTTTAGTTTATTTAGTTCAACTTACAGCCGTCAATCAACTGTCATTCGTGGTGCTAATTAATCTATTAGCATGTGCTGTCCTTGGCATTGTCTGTCACCCTTGGATAATCTTTAGAGTCACTCTTATTGTTAACTTTGTGAGATTAAGTTGATTATCATTTGGAATTTACGGATTGAACAATCAACCTTTTTAACAAAAGGCAGGCCGAGGTGATATTATAGTTTGGCGTTGCCCTACTCACAAAGGCGAAAAGGAATCCACAGTCAAGGGTCGCTATCTGGACATGAAGTGCCTGTGGGCACTGCTATAGAGTTGGTGGCTGTTGCTAAGTCACAGCTGTTCAATGGTACAGTTATATGCGGGAAATTTGCTCAAATTATCTTGTCAACCATCCTGTTACTTTAGGTGGACCAGGGGTAGTTGTCCAAATAAATGAAACAGTCATGTCTAAACGCAAGCACAGCCGTGATCATTTTGTCCCAGAGAACTGGTTATTTGGTAGCATGCGAACGGGAATCGACCAATCAGAATCGAACACATGGATTAAACCGATGGGTAAGCAAGATTCGCAGTAAATTAGTCGGTGCTATTACTCAATCGAAGAAAAGTTGTTCAAATTTATCACATTCAAGCTTATCAAATTTAAAAATCCAAGATTTAATTTCTAAAATCAAAAATAGACAAAAATATGAGGAAATGGCAGAAATTCTTGCAACAACAACCGAGTTTAAACAGCAGCAGTGATGAAATAGAAGAATTACCACCAAATAACGTATCTTTAGAAGCCATTACAAAGGAAACGAAATCAGTCCGGACAAACACTACCCTCTCGTTACTCTCGGCATTCAAAGGTGAGACGATCCCTCCCGTGGATCCGACCTCAATATGCATGTCAATTATCCCTCGTAATTGCAAGATTGTAAACAAGATTACCACATTACCTGACTTGTTTAATCTAAAGTTCATAGAGTCCAATTACGTTTCTGACCCCCAACTGAGTGCGATTCGCGATCTCATAGTTTCAAAGGATCCTAATATTCATGAAAAGATTACTGCTATAAACCGTTATTAATCGCAATTTGTTAACGCCTTCTACTTTAAAGAGAACGTCATGTGGATGGACTAAAAACTTGTAATTCCGATGAACCTCCAAACAGCAATTAACAACCGAATCCATGCAAATCATCACGGGAAAACCAATATGTTTGATGCCGCGAAAGTTGTTTGGTACCCCTATATTTACCGATCAATAGCTTCAATAGCTGAAGACTGCCCTGAATGCACCACCGCCGGTAAGAATTTAAAAACGATTCTAAGTAAGAATCAGCTCGGGAATTTACCTGAACCAAAAGAACCAAACAAATCAGTTCAACTGGATTTTTGGGGCCCCATTAACTATTTAAATGAATCCCAAAAATATGTGTTAGTGGAGGTGGATCGGTTTTCTCGTTGGCCGTTGGCAATGGTCTGTGGAAATAACCGGTCTGATAAAATAATGAAGTTTCTAAAAAGTTATAAAACAAATCACGGGGTGCCAAGGAAAGTTCACGTGTACCAGGGAACGAGTTTTATGTCAAACGAAGTTAAATTATTCTGTAAGGGGGAGGGTATTGAAATCATAAAATCACCAGTTAATGATCACCGGGCAACTGGGTGCGTGGGGCGTACTATTGGTAGTCTTAAAAACTCCATTTTGACTTTCGTCCAAGAAAAACATCCCGAATCTTTGGAGAAAATGATTGAAATGGCCCTTGGTGCTCTCCGATTTTTGAAGATTGCAACATTAAGAATCTTGCCATTCGAGGCGCATCATGGTCGAGAAGCGAACACGGTTTTAATAAACCTTACAAAAAACCATCTCTTCAAAATCTGGATTAGTCGCGGGTAATAAAACGAAAAATGCTGGTTTAGATGACACTGACCCTAAAGTAAGGGATATGCCACACCCAGCCGAAACAAACTGGGGTGTACGATCGGATCTAGCATATGACATCAATCATCGAAGCCACGCGCGCCGGTTGACCAGTGAACAGGCTGAAAATCAAGACGACGAACCATCAATTCTAAAATCCGCAGGCACCAGCGGACAGCCGGGACCCTCTGAATTGTTATTCCAGCTAACCGAAAAACCGAAACCTAAAAGAGTATAAACAGCTTCATTCTAAAGTTAGAGCAGAAAGTGCTCATACATTAACGTTAAAAAATGGGGTTGTGCTTAGAGAATTGCGGGTGGCCACGAAGCCAAAATCAAAGAAAACAAAAACGACAGTACCGCAAGCGATCCTACCACCTCCAACCCCAGGCGAAGTCAAAGAGCCGGCGACAAGACGAATTGCTACAGAAAAGCAACGGAAGAAGACCGGGCGCCGATTTGAGAACAGCGGTTCCGAATCGGAAGGTAGCGACGATTTTCTTTGACGAAAATCAGAATCTTACAAAAAACCATCTCTTCAAAATCTGGATTAGTCGCGGGTAATAAAACGAAAAATGCTTGTTTAAATGACGCTGACCCTAAAGTGAGGGATATGCCACACCCAGCCGAAACAAACTGGGGTATACGATCGGATCTAGCATATGACATCAATCATCGTAGCCACGCGCGCCGGTTGACTAGTGAACAGGCTGAAAATCAAGACGACGAACCATCAATTCTAAAATCCGCAGGCACCAGCGGACAGCCGGGACCCTCTGGATTGTTATTCCAGCGAACCGGAAACCGAAACCTAAAAAGGTATAAACAGCTTTTAGTTTATTTAGTTCAACTTACAGCCGTCAATCAACTGTCATTCGTGGTGCTAATTAATCTATTAGCATGTGCTGTCCTTGGCATTGTCTGTCACCCTTGGATAATCTTTAGAGTCACTCTTATTGTTAACTTTGTGAGATTAAGTTGATTATCATTTGGAATTTACGGATTGAACAATCAACCTTTTTAACAAAAGGCAGGCCGAGGTGATATTATAGTTTGGCGTTGCCCTACTCACAAAGGCGAAAAGGAATCCACAGTCAAGGGTCGCTATCTGGACATGAAGTGCCTGTGGGCACTGCTATAGAGTTGGTGGCTGTTGCTAAGTCACAGCTGTTCAATGGTACAGTTATATGCGGGAAATTTGCTCAAATTATCTTGTCAACCATCCTGTTACTTTAGGTGGACCAGGGGTAGTTGTCCAAATAAATGAAACAGTCATGTCTAAACGCAAGCACAGCCGCGATCATATTGTCCCAGAGCACTGGGTATTTGGTGGCATTCACACCGAGCAAAAAATAGGGTTTTTGGATTTTTTATCTGACAGAAGTGCAGCAACCCTGCTCCCTATAATTGAAAGAGTTATCAGACCAGGGTCGACTATTCACTCCGATCAGTGGGTGACCTATAACGGAGTTGCTAATATTCCAGTGAACCCTGTGTTTGTTCATCATACTGTCATTCATTGAGAGAATTTCGTCGATCCTATCAGTGGAGCGCATGCCAATGAGATTGAGTGCATGTGGAAGAACGCGAAAAAACGTTTTAAAGTGATGATATGATGGGTACATATGTCGAGATGATGCCGGGACATTTAGACGAATTTATGTGGCGCCAGAGATATGGAAAAACTCACGATGAAGCCTTTGAAAACATTTTGTACCATATTTTTTGTGGTTTCTTCTCGTAAAATCAATAAAAAGAGCGAAATACCTGTTTTTATTAGGGACCACAGCATTTTTGAGGGACCAAACAAGTAAACTAGTACCCTGCTTTGCACTGCGAGGCTAATTCGCACTAATTAAAAATCTGTTTATCAAGCGGGAAAGAAGCCAACAATACGTAGTATAAATTAGCTTTAAAAATTTGATACTAGTTTTCAGTTTACTGGCCCAAAAAACAAACAAACGCTTGAAAATATATTTTGTCCTTAAATGACGTATTTTGACGCAACTAAGCCGATATAACACAAACCAAAACCACTTAGGCCTAAAAAATTTCTCAAGCGAACTAAACGAAAACAGAAATAATAAGGATAACATACAGTAGCGAATTTAGGGGGGGGGGGGGCATACGCCTCCTTCTCTCGGGGATTCGACTCTCTGCCGACCCAAAGGAAACCCGTAGTTTTGACGGAAAGCACGCGCCGAAAAACGCAAAATTTTGGCCAAATTGTTCAGTAATTTACCTCAAAATGAGTTTTTTGCCTGCTTTTCAACAATTTCAATGCGACGCAGAAAAAATGTCTATATAATGATTTGGGAGAGATGATAAAATCATCTTGGCCGCCCAAAAACAGGTCGAGATTTTCAAAAAATGTTTGAAAATCCGCATCCACCTCGAAAAATCTAATATATAATCATAGATGGAAAGTTTAAATTTTAGAGGAATGAATCCGATTGAGTTTGAATTAAAATAAGTTTTGCTTCCATCCGAAGAAAAACCCATGTTTTGTAAATCAAGTCAACAAAAATAAGCTGGTTAAATTACGCGATGAAAAGCCAAATTATTTTTTCAATTTTAAAAAATAGAATCTGGGCGGAGTTCGAACCAGGTTCTTTTCTTTTCCGTTCCAAGCATGGGGGGTATCGATAGTCTAAATGTGCAGACAACGTCGGTTAGAAATTAAGCACGTTACATATTTTACATACGAATTGTTAACAAATTAATCATGGGGAAAAAGTCTTGTACCCAAATACAATAATCTTGCTAATCGAAGTTGCCCAGAACAAATTTGAACTTTTTTATGCCCTTTATTTGGAACAAAAATCTTCGAAACTATGATTAAATTGTTCGACTAAAATAATTGTCATTGCTAATTTAAGCAAACTCAGTCAAACTTTCTTGCACCATTTTCTGTGTACTCTCATACCAATCGTAGGTTTCAGAGCCTCCATACTCTACTGGTAAATTGGGTACAAAATCAGCACCAAATATATCTTCCAAATCTGTTTTTTGGTTGTCACCAGAACGTGGGTAGGGTACATTTTTGATGTCTTTGCTAAAAGAGACTAAGTTCATCATGGCTGTGACCATAGCTGGCATCATGGCATTGGCAATCAGCTGGTATTTGCACTGAGAGGGCAGGTAGCTCTGGGAGATTGTCTTGAGAACTTTAACAGCAGGGCGCATAGCGTGCATTTGTTTCAGGAAAACTCCCTAAACCGAATGTTCATAAATTATGCATACCACGTAACAGCAATAAGCACCAATAAATTAAGAAGATTCGGTGGAACGGAATTTTAGTACAAATTTTTAAAAATCAATCAATGTTTCACATGAAAATGGAACACTTGAAAATTTTGAAATCTAGTTCATCAAAAAAAATAATTAAATTTATTAATTTTAATTAATGACAAAGAATTAATTTTTGTAGGTTAACCATTTCAATTTTTTCGAGCACTGTCAAAACCCTTGATGGACGATTTGTCGAATATGTCCAATTCCAACGAAAATGGGTGCGATATAAAACAGTAGCAAATGGAACAATTTAGAAACATTTGGCAATCCGAATTTATAGAGAAAATAACGTCGATTTTATGTAGACTTATTTAGATTTAATTAAATTTAAGCCAGCCGAATATTTAATTTGAAAGTGAAACGGTTTTGACTGAAGACAAACCAAAAAATTATGAAAATTGGAAACAAATACGGGCATGCTAGCATGGCAACACCTGAGTTCAAGGAGAAGGACAAAGAAGCAAGTAAGTAATTAAATAAGTTGTATTTACATACCTTGAGATCATATATGACCGAGTATCCACAGCTTCGTCTTAAGTCATCCAGCCCAACTGATTCCATAAGTAGAGTAAGTAGGGCGGAAATCTCGTAGATGGAACAGTCATTAGGGTTCCAGGCCCCCACTTTAAACACCAACACTGTACCTGCCTACGAACAAGAAAAGTCCCGCAATTAGATTCCATGGATAATAGTCAAATATAATGCATTTTCATGGCCTGTCTGTATAAAATTCTAAACTTATCGAATATAATGAGTTAATAATCGATTATTTTACACGGAAGCCCAGAGCGAAGCAGGCAAATATAATTTTATTTATGAACTTCATAAAAGATCTAGATACAACAGTTGTTTTAATTCCGACCTAAATTTTTAAGGTACTTCAAAGATTAAGAACTTGGTTTTTTTTTGGGGGGGGGGGGGGGGGGGTTTCGAAAAATTTTGAAAGTTTTGCCGGCCTTTTTTTCAAACATTTTAATTTTCCGAGCTCTCCAGATACGGATACTATTTTGTCGAAAAATTGCTGCGCCGCAGGAAATTTTTTTAAAAAACAGGTTAAAAAGGCGTTTTAAGACTTTTTGGAAAATTTTGATCAAAAAATTGCGTTTTTTGGCGCGCGCTCCGCCTCAAAATTATTCATATAGGCCCGAAGGCGCCTTTAGAAAAACTTTGAGGTTGGTTAGCAACAAAACGGATTTCGTAAAGCTCTACCAAAGGGGGGCCTTTTAGAAAAATTTGGTAACCAGAATCCCCCCCCCCCTCCTCGGCACGCTACTGGGAATAACTCACCTTGGACATTTGTGGCAGTATCAACACGGTCTTTGTAACAATTCCTTTGATCAAACTGTCCATTTTGTAGTGATTGAACACCTTTTGGCACTGAACTCTAACATCTAAGTAGTTCCGCAGGCTGTCGAGTGCCTTTTCAACGTCGAAGTCTTCCTTGTGCAGAAACATTCGGAGGAGTCGGGAGTCCTCGCGAGTCAGAAACCCGAACTGAGACATCTGATCGTCTAGTTTGACTCGTCTGACCAGTTGTGAGAACCAAACCTCGGACCGAGACAACTCGCTGTCCATTTTCGGAAAACGCGAGATAGAAAAAGATTAAACTTTTAAGCCAGATGACTCAATAAATTTCAAATAATTGGTTGACGAACATTTTTGTCAGTAAAATGGAAAATAAAATATAGAAGAGAAACTATTTTTTGTCAAATGGTCAAAACGAAAAGATGATTATAAACTTGAACTGTAAAACAACTTTTTGGATATTTCACATCATCTGAAGCATATGAACAAGGTTATGGAATAAAGACTTTGACCGATGATTTAACACTATTGTTACCGTTAGACAGACAAAACTGACAAATATGTCGATGATATTTAGACAACAAACATCGGAGTTCAAACTTAACCGCCTTTAATAGATGTTCAAATAAACTGAGTTCAGATTCTCAATATGCTTCTCATTAGCAAAAATTAAGCCAAAGGTAGAATAAAAATTTCTATTTTTGTACCAAATGAAGAATTGGTACTACTTTTGTGCTTTGTACGTATTATTTGGAGTTGTATAGCGTCAATGGTTGCTTTAGATGACGATCAATAGAGCTTTTGAAGCCGCAGTGCGTAAGCTTAGCTGACGTATCAAATGTATTTGATCACAGGTAAAAAGGCAGCAAATAATTTTTTTATCTAACAGCATAGCTCAATTTTCATTTACAAGGAAAAATTCCATTTCACGTTGAAGCTTAGTAGCGAGAATTTGTATCGGTAGTCATGTCTGTTTGGTCAATTTATATAAATGCGGTAAACACGACCGTAAAAAAATGCTTATATATAATAATTTAATCTCTTCTAAGCAATTTAAAAAATTTTCCTCGCAACGCCACTTGGTCGAGCTAAGCACTTCGTCGCTTATAAAATTGGTATTTTTAATAGTTAAAATGAACAGCTAAAAACGGACATCAAATCAACGGAATTTTTCTAGAAACCGTAGTAAATAGAAAGAAAGTATTTAATTATCCATTATCATGTAAAATAAAATTATTATCAAATAAGGATCAAGTTTACATCCTCGCCTGTTCCTCCAGATAGACCAAGTTATGAACCTCCATCCAGTGTTTAATTTGGGTTAAACTTGCTAAGCGCTAAGCTCTGCGTGTAAAATAGTCGATTCTAAATTACTCAAAATTCATCTTGGAACAAAGTTAACATTCTTTCCACTAAACGGATTTGGAGGGACGATGTTAACTTGGTCAACAAATTATTGTCAAGTATGGGTATATTATTTCCCTATTCCGTCCAAAAATTAAGTATTTTAAAATTTTGAACCAAAATTATTATGCTTCAATCTGATTGACTAGAATTAGCCAAGCAACTTTCAGTAACATCTCAAAAAACTATATTTACAATATTAAGTCGACTTTTAAATAAGCTGAATAGGTCAAAAATATAGAACGTTTCGTAAAATATTCTGGTTTACTTCAAATAAGCTGCAAATTTTAACCCAGACTGGAAAAAAAAACACAGAATATAGTTCCCCGAAAAATGACCACCTTCATCTCTGCTCAAAATTTGGCTCTGTTAGAATTCGGCTAGGATAGTGAGGCGACAATTTGTTACGGGCGACAATGCGTAACAAGCGACGATTCGTAGCAGTACATATAGCGGGAAACACTGATTCACGCGCAGTATTGCTCTCGTGCTGGATGCAAGCGCAGCAAAGCAAGCGTATACTAATTGCCAACCCGTTGTTACAAATTGTGGCGTGTTACGAATTGTCGCCTGCTACGAATTGCCGTCCTACCGGCTAAGGAATAAAGTGTTCGCATTTGTTTTAACCATATCAACCAGTGCAATCAGTGTTTTGTTCTCGGAATTTAACCATTGAATAAGGCCCAATTGCAAAACTAAAAAACTTGGGCGGAACGAGTGATAAAAACATCAAGTATTTAAAAGTATTTACAAATAAATGTGAAACAAAAATATTAAGCAGAAAAAATACGATTACCAAAAAAAAGTTTAACGCGAACTTTTAAAACGTTAAATTTTAGTAGAATTGGACAAGAAAGTCAGCTTCTCATCATTTTTTGTCTATCTATGCTTGAGAACCGCAAATATTTGGACCAGTTTTTCTCGACACACAGAAAATTATTGATTTTTATGAGAAAATTGTTGATTTTTTTAACACGAATTACAACTAATAGAGCTTTAATAAGATACCAAATCTCCTACGAGCTTTGTTTAAGGGAGTCAAAATTTGTCTTCTTAGTTTTTCCCGCCTCGTGTAGAGGGGTTATGGAAAGAAAATTACCAACACAATTACTTAGATGAAACGAGAGGGGACAGACTAAAAACACAATGCTTTCCTACCAAAGGTCTATGCGATAGTCAAATAGTTTTATTTAAAATTCTAAGAACAAGGATTTAAAGAAACAATTTTTTTCACTAGATTCGCAATCATGGGCAGTTACATAATAGAAGTCTAATTATATAGTAGAATTTTAGGAAAAAAATGAATTTAAATTGATTCAAGCGTTGCGACAATTCATCTTTAACAAAATTAACAGAGTCATCTTCATTAAACTAATACACAAATGTTGTTTTGTTATTTCTTGTCAATTCGCCTCTATTCTCTGGAAACATGTTATTGTCGCTCATCAAACTTAGTTAAATTGGTTTTCTGTTACTTAAAACATCTTGCTCATTTATTGAATAACACCATTTGTATAAGAAAATGATACATCGGATCAAACCCGATAGAAAGAACGTATAAAACAATCTAGAAGTTTGTATTTAACATCCTTTCCAGACACAGAGGCAAAGCAGAGCTCCGCGCCACTTGCGATAAAACACAAACATAGGAGACAGAAATTGAGACGAAATCTGCTATGAGTAAAAAGATTAGTCTTGAATAAAGTTCAGTTCCTCAAAAATATGCCAAACATGAACAACTGAAGATGAATTTGCATCGAAATGAAACTTAAGAGCGGTAACAAAGCCGACAATTTTTGACGAGAGATCAGTTGCACCAAAACAAAAACAATTTGCATAAAAAATTTCAAAATTTCTCAAAAGCTTTAATTCACCCCCTCAGAAGATTCAAAGCATAATACTCTTGCTTTGCTTATCCAGCGACGCAATATGATATTAATATAACCGGTAAGGGATAAACAAAAAAACTGAAGATGAGTAAATAAAAAAGACAAAGAAAAACGAAAGAATGGGAAAAATGCTCATCCGGAGTTGGTAAGTTTAACGTTTAACGCTAACGGAAGAAATAAATATTGGAGAGAACAGGAAATTAAAATGCAGACATGCTCAAGTTGTGTCTGTTGGTGGACGAAAAAGATTTCAGAAAATGATTTATTTTTGTTCGACAAGTTGTTTACAAGAAACAGTCAGTTTTTGGAATTGATAACGCTCGCTAGTCGCGTAACTCAATTATCTCTACTAATGGGATTTCAGCAATGGCGTTCAGCAGTTTAGATAAAAGACGGGCTTTTCCGTGATACGATAACTAAGCCGACAAAAATAACCAGCCGGATGATGGTCCGAAAAAGTAGAAAAATTTCAGTTTGAAAAAACAGGTCCCGGACGTTTTTGAAACTCAAACCTTCCCGTCTCGAACAGGTGTTTCCCCTGCACCAGCTGCACTGAATGATAAACTTTTTTCACTTTTTGAGAAGCCAGTTGAAACACGTGTAAACTTTTAACGTGCGAAATCCAGTGAAGAAATTCTTCGCGGGAAAAATTTTAGTCCTCGGTTGCAACATCCTTGCTTATGACAAGGGTGAAATCAATAAATTGCACTTATTGCGATACAACACTTGTAATTTTGTAGGAATCAAATGATATCCTGAGCTTTTATCTTTTGAGACTTAGTAACTCTTTTTTTTTACTGTAGAACAGTCAAATCAAAACTTCTGCTTGAAATACTTGAAGTTCGTCAGTCAATATTTCTTCTATAAATATTTTGGGCTCAATTTCAGTACCATTCAAGCTCAAACCAGTCGAACCTCAATTTGCTGTTAACTTCTACATAAAAGCGAAGCAGAAAAATGTATGTAATGAAATAAAACGAAAAAAAAGTAGCTATCGCCTGGTTTTTAAATTATCAATCATCTAAATAGCAAAATACATTTAAACATAGCTGGCCTGCATAAATTGCTTAAAAGATAAGCAATGAAAACTTTGACAAATGCACATAATGATAACCCCATCGAGAATAAAAAGGTTGTGAAATGAACAAACATATTTCTTTTTTTTTCTGAAGCCAATGCAAGTTAGATCTTAAAACAATCTTAATGCTAAAAATCAAGAAGTCCGAATCCGGAAACTAAATTTCCATTGATTCGAAAAATTGTTTGTTGAAAAATTTTATTAATCAATTCAGAAAAATAAGTATAGACACAAATCAACAGACAAAAATAAGCATAGACAACAATAAGCATAGACAATACGCATAATCATAATTTGAAAAAAATTACCAAAAATACATATTAAGCCAAAAACAATAGCCGGTTTTTGTTTCCAAAAACATAATTTCCAATCAGCTAGACTTTTAAAAAATATATCGAAAAGTACGATAGTCAAAAGAACACAATTAAACTGGAAATTTTGAAATATACAAAAAGGGCAGACCTTTAACTATTTTTCTCGAGAAAGGAATCATAAAACGCAATCAAAATTAATTGGACGAGAGGTAAAGAATGGGACTCATATTTATATTTTTTAAACAATTTTTAAGTTACGCGTTAATGAAGGAATAAAACAAGTGTATTTGGAAAAAAAGCAAAAAAAAAACAAATCAAGTTGCCATTTCAAAACAAAAAATTCTAGAACTTTCCGTTATCAAAATTTAGAGCTCCTATAACAACTTTTCTGCATAAATTACATCTACTACCAATAACTCAATGAATTGAGCACAAGCTTTTGAATATTGTTGTCAAGCTCGTTAACCACACTATATTTTTCCCTACTTAGGGATTTGGACAAACTATATTTGAAATACTTGATGGCCCAAAGTAGTGATACCCAGAACGAATTCCAGTGTTGAAAGACGGAGCGCGTTCAGTTATTGTGGCGGCAACATTTTGGTATGTTCTTCACAGAAAATGCAGGAAACGGACTCGCAGCTTTTCCGAAAAACTGGAAACGAATCTGATCGGATCTTATATCCGTTCCGACCAAATATATGAAAGCAAATAACTCACTTTTTTGAACAGCAATGATGATGATGATGAAGAACAAATTTTGACAAGTGCGGATCCCAGATGCTCATAAAAAGATTAAATAACTGAAATTTATTTCGAAAGCGAACTGTTTTGTTTTATATGCCGGCGTCCAGTTTGCGGCCTTGAAATAACACTCACAGCGAGCCAGAACTAGTTGCATATTTCGGGTTCCTTTTTTAATGAGTAAACCGAACTTCACTTCACTTTTACGAGTGCATCACATTTGAATCTCTTGCCTCAGGGACAGTGGGTCTGAATTTTTTCGATTTCGAGACTACGTTTGATTAGTGACTGAACTTAGGGATTTTATTTCTACTACAATTTTTATGTTATAATTTGTTACTGTTGTTTTTTTTTCAATGAACTTAAGAACTCAGATGTCAATGAACTCAAGAAGACAGAAAATATACATATTTTGAAAAACTCAAACTATCGAACTGAAATACATCTCATTTGCGCTCTTTTAACTTCAGGAGTCTTTCAAGATTGACTCTTTTTCACAAAATTGTGCCAATTAGAGAACTTGGTCACAATAGATAAAATTTATATTCCGCTGATAATCTAATAATTAATTTTTTTTTCGTAAGTAGAAATCATTCGCATTTTTTGTGCCATTTACGCCTTCTTAATTTGAGAGCATAATTTTCTTCTTTCATCGAATTAAATTGAACTGATAATAAAGTAATTAAAAGCCAAATCGGGAAAATCAAATTCGAGTATGATTAAATTTGAATACTTTTTCCTGAAAAACGCCCTATCTAAGCGTCATCATAACGTTTTTTGACACTTTCACAGGATAACTAGAAAACAAACTAAAGAAATTTTCTGAATATTTTTTGAATTGTTTCCATTTTTTCCTGCACATTTACCAATTTTTGTAATCCCTGCATGTCTACCAACACATATTTGTCTATTATAAAACAGGATTTATTGTCTACATTTCGTTTTTATTCTACCGAACAGAAAATTACCTTGATTTCCATCAGATTTCCTGTAATTTGTATGTCTATTCAGAATAATTTGAATAAAGAATTTATTCCTCAATCCATAAAATATCCATTTATTAACATCATGATACTTCGCAACAAACTTAAGCACGGTCTTATATAAGTTAAGCGGCAATCACAGTCTGTCAATTTTGCTTCAGATGAGAAAACTTCAGAACTTTACTAAAAACTGGCTTAAATTTGTTGAAGACTACAGTCTTATAAATTCAAACAACTGACATCGATGTCAGCCGGTGTGTCGAGAGAGCGAGTTTTAAACTTCTGCTTCATTTTCGAGCACAGCGGGGCCAGTTGTTCACGCACTTTTGCAAACTGTTCAGCCTGGGGCAAATCTTTCGTGTCCAAATGAAGGGCAAACAGTCGACATAGGGAGGTCTCTGCGTTGAATTTGACCATGGAGTTCGCGTCCTCAATTAGTCTGAGCAGCTCAGTTGTGATATACAGTTCCATATTGTAATTATCAGAGAGCGGTGCCTCGTTGAAGTTCATATCTAAAACAAACAGGTCCGTGAAAATTGAAAAGTGATTTTAAAAATGACTATTTTAACAACACTACTTCTTCATAATAACTTCACTAAACACTATTTCACTAAATAATTTTGGATTTTTTTTCAAGTTCCAGTTTGGTTGTAACATTCTGCGCTATTTGCAGAGCAACCGGCTATCTTTTAGTTCCTCAATCTGACAATGCAAATGAAGAAACAGTCCAAAAACAGTGGTTAAACTATGAATAAACATGGCGGTACACTGTTCACTGGCATGATGCACTACGATTCAAAGCCTTTCAAGTCTAAATAAACTCACATGGCTTTGCCTCCGAAGTGAGTGAATCCATGCAGTTACTGAGCCACTGTCTCACATCCATAGACTGCGAAGAGACACAAGTCTTCAATCCCTCGCAGATGTCCTTCACACTCACTTGTTCACACACTCTGCTCTTCAGCTCATCAGGAGAGGATGAGGATGACTCACCAGTTCCCTCTCCAGCTTGGCATTTGAGGATAGACTTCATTAAGAAAGTGCAGCTTGACATTCCTGAAGACATAATTACAATGTGAAGATGTAAAAAAGAGGTAGACCTGATGTAAACCTGGTCTTTGGTGAATTAAGATGTCAAAACAATGCAAAATTTTTGTTTTTCTTTAGAATCTACAAAGAGCCAAGAAAGCTGAAGATTTGAAACTTTAGTTAAAAATTCAATAGGTTAGTGTTTTAACTCTGAAAGAGGATAATCTCTAGCTTAGACATCACAAAAAAAAACAGATCTCACACCAAATTTTATGGTCCAACATTACAGTCATGAACAGATCAAGTTACTTACCGGCTTGAGATAGGAGAACATTCTTGCTGTTACATAGACTCTTCGCACACTGCATTACTTTGTTGCAGTCCTTATGCAGGAAGATCTTATCACTGTGGTATCTGCAACATACAGATAATGCCACTGCATTCGTGTGACACAATTCAATTCCTTTACTCTCGTTCACATTTAGCAACACTTCTTTCATCAACTCGTCAAACTTCGGATCCGGAAGGTATCCCGAGACCATTCCTAGACATCCTCCACAAGCGCGTCTGAAATCTTCGCTTTCATTCTCTCTCAGAGCTACAACATCCGCAAATATTCGATCGCGAATCGCGGGATTCATTTTGACTCCAATTGCTTTCACGCTTTGCTGTAGAGCGTTCAGAGCCACACTTTGTGCTTGGACGTCTGAATTTGTCTGGACAACGTTTAACAGCTCCGTAAAAATCGGATCTGGTCTCAAATGGATCCCCATGATAAGTCCAACGCCTTCCGCGCCTCTCATTTTAACCCTTTCATTTGGGTCCGAAATTGCCTTCATGAAAGTATTCTGCAACTGTGGCAAAAACGGTTTCAACATAACGCCGACTTTTTTCAAGAGAAGATTAAGCGTTGCTATAAATGCTATTCGAACATTCACTGAGTATCTTTCTCCTAGGATCCTGATCAACGGGCCTGTGATCTGAATCACCAAGTGCTGCAAGGCTTCTGGAGTTGTTACTTTAATCGCCTCTGACAATCCATAGGCCGCTTGCTCTTTCGATTCTTGAGATCCGCTCATTATACTTTCCCGGTATATTGGTAAAATAGCACCGATCCCTTTCTTCACAGTGCAGAATCCGATAATAGTTGGTGTTGTACTTTGCTGAGATGCTTGTCTAACAGCCTGTCTCAGATTGAACAGTTGGCCAATTTGTTCCGCCGAATCCAATTTTTTAACAAATTTAGTCAAAATATCATAAACGAGAGTTAAGAATTCTGTATCTGCAGTATTATCAGCCAGCAGAACCATCAATGTTTTGAACACCTCCGAGCAAAAATCAGCCAAGTTATTATCTGTAGTCGATACAAAACTGTTGAATAACTTCAGTCCTGCCAAGCATTTCGCGTTGTCCTCTCTTTCACTTGCGACTGAAAGAAGGTGCTCTACTGTAAAGGCGATCGCTTGTCGTTCTTGAATCTGGTTGAACAATATCACCATACCTTCTAAGTCACTGTCTTCGTTTTCGGAAGCCGCAAGCGATCTAACCAGCGCTGGTAGAATCTTCTCTAGATGATGATTCAGAGTTTCACCCGCAACCGGCGCAATGATAGCCAGGGCAGCTACATTTGCTGGAGGCTTTGTTAGTTCCGGGATCAAAAACGGCATCACAGTTCGACTTCTGATTGCAATCACTTGTTTTAGTCCGTCAGTTGCGTATTCTCCAAAGGTCTCGTCTGTCAATTTTGGAATCAAAGGCTTCAAAACTTCTTCGAGAGCTTGCTGATGTATAATGTTGTATAGTTTGTCAAACGCCCTCGCAGCCGCCACTCTTACACGTTCAAATGGATCGCATAATCCCATCTCAACCGTTGGAACTATAGTACTGAGATACTGTTGCACTTGATCTCGACTTGTACTTGCCATCACTTCTCCCAAGCCAATACACACTCCTTGTCTGTGGTCGGTATCAGGCGACTTCAGACCGCGTTCTAGAACTGGAATAATCTCCGGCAACACCCGGTCTCCTAACTTTTTGGCCAAATCTCCTAGAGTTCTGGCTGCGATTTGTTTCTTTTCCTCGCTGTCACAAGCTAAATTGCCTAAAAGCAGAGCAAAGAGTGTTGGCAAAATTTCTTTTAGCGTTCTAGGCGTATTCGAGACGACAATTTTCCAAACATGTAGTGACGCTTGTCTGACAGGTAGCGACACGTCGTTACGTCCCATGTACAGTCCTCCAAGCACTCGGTCTCTTCTTTCGACCGTCAACAGCTCTGACAACTTCGTGGTCGTCTTTTCAGTTCCGAACGTATCGTCGTCTCCTTCGGTCTCAGTTGTCATTTTTCCAGTCACTCCCAGAAGTTTGAACAACAAATCTCCCAAAAGTTGGATTGAGCACAATCTGATTCTCCAATTTTCGTCAAAGAGTCCCTTGTCGAGTTCAGGCAGGAAAATAGCCAATGATGTTGATGAATACTGGTTAATGATTTGCTGACCAGCTTTGAACGAGCTGTCTCTCACGTATTCGACTTCGGAAGCCAGACCTTGCAAGATGGCCGGAATTATCTGGTCTATGTAAGACGCAAAATGAGTTCCAAAAGCGAGAGGGAGGAAAATGAAGATTGAGAGGTAACCGTCTCGAACATATGGAGGGTGATCTACGTTCATAGCTTCAGCTACTATCACTGGTAGAACTTCTTGCAATTTCGAGGGTCCAATTGCTGCATAAACTTCACTCAAACCTTGGGCCGCTCCTGAGCGATCGATGTTACTTACACTTGACACCACCGTCTCTCTCAACCAAGGCATCATAACTTCCAAGATACAGTCACCCAAACCCCGGACCAAAGAACCCAGGGCTCTTGATGAGTGACCTCTTATTTCCGGCACAGGATCAATTAGAACAGTTTTAAACCCTGGAATCAATTTGTCCAGATATGGCTTCAAGTCTTTCGAGTCAGCTAGAGTGTTGATGTTGCATAAAATCTGACAGGCCATTTTCCTAACCTCAGCAGAGCGATCTTTGAAGGAATTTTCTAGAATAGGCATGAGCAATGCCAAACTAGCAGCGTCAATCATATGAACAAATCTTGTCTTCAGGAGAAGTTGAAGTGTCTTTTTAGTTTCTTCAGCTCTGTGACTCAGAGCGTCTAAGATGCTTGGTGAAATCTGTTGGATTTCAGGATTTTTTACAACTGCCGCAACATGATTCAAGGCTTGCTTAGCACATGCAGAAACTTTATGATGAGAGTCGTTTAGCACTTCAAGTAATTTGGGCACAATTGTCGGCAAACACGCTGATAGCTGCTTAGGAGCGCAATGAGACATAGCTCCTAGCAGTTCAATACACCCGACTTTAGTTCGCCAGCTTTCTTCTTCAAGTCCCTTGAGCAAAGTGGGCAGAATTATTTTCACGCCATGCACTGTCAATTTCTGCATTACAACTTTCGAAGTCTCTTCAGCTGCGTCACGAACTTGCAATTGAGGATCCCCAAAAGCTATCAACAAATGTGGCAGTAGATTCACCAAGTATGGTTCGAAGATCCTTCCGAGCAACTGGCATAAACTCTGGAACCCCAGCAACGCCCCTGTTCTTCTGTTCACTGACTTTTTGTCCTCAATTGCCTCCTGTAACTGGCTGATAACTTGGTGCTGCTTCAGACTCATGATTCCGAGACCTTTGACAAGTCCTGCGACTCCAAAAGCAGCTCCTCGACGTTCACAGGAATCATCCGTACTCAACAGAAGCGTCAGCAATTTTGAAATCAGCGCGGGACAATCATCTCGAATGGCGTCCACAAGCTTAGGAAGACAGTTTGCAACAGCTTCTTGGACTAGAGGCGAAGGCTCTGTAAGAGATTCCATCAATTTCGAAACTATAGGCTTAATTTTAGCCTGATCATCCATCATATGTTTTGCTAGAGATCCCATCAAAATAACTACCGACTGTTTAACTACAACTGATCCAGACTCATTATCCATGTAATCTTGGAGCCGATCCAACAACTGTCGGCAATTATTTTGCCCAAACTTATCGAGAGCCTCTTGTGCCGCATTCAACACACCAGTTCTCACATCATCATTCGTATCATCGAGTCCAGTTTTCAGGAAGAAATCGAACATCACCTCTAGTTTATCTTCAGGCACAAATTTTATTATTCTTTTCAGAGTTTCCGCTATGCCTAGTCTTGGTTCCCAGATATCCGGATTCTCCTCGCTGATTATGCGTCCCAGGCTGTCTTTTTTGGCAGGTACGAAAGTTATTTTAACTTGGAATAAATTGATCAAATCGGTAAAGATTTCAGCCGCGATCGAGGTGTCGTTTTCAATTACCTTTCCCATCGCAATTGCAGATGATTTATTCAAACTCACGCATTCTGTGCTTACAATTTCAAGGAGCTGCTCAGGCAAAAATGCTTCAAAGTTTTGATTTGGGATCGATTCCCAAATAGCTGATGCTGCCTTTGAAATAGAGGCTTCTTCGTCAAAGGTCAGAGCGTAGATGAGAGTAAACAACTTAAGAGACCTCTCGAAATCATTGACTGGCGGGACAAGCAAAGTTGCCAACGTCGCGCAGCTTTCTAAAACACTTGATTGAATAGTGACAGATGGTTTCAGCAGAGACTGATACAAGTTTACGGTCAGATCGGCATCTATGATTTTCGACTTGAACACCAGAGCACATAGTTTTCGGGATACCTCTTTTGCTTTGACTTGAATTGCGGGCGGAAACACTTGAAGCACATGGAACAAACTGTTGAACATTTTTGACACTGGAAGCACGGCTGAGTCTTCTGAACTGGTTTCGCTCAGCTGGACATCGAAGATGGCCACTACAGCTTCGATGACGTCATACTTTTCTGCCGACGATGTCTCCAAGTCTTCGGAGAGAGAATAAATACTCTGATGCATGCAAGGATGGAATAAGTTGAACACATTCAAAGGCAGACTGAAACTTCGAATCGTGTCTTCAATATACTGGAAAACTTGAGCCTTCAGCTGTTCCATTACCATTTCAGCGCACCCAAGAACATCTTTTGGTAAAAATTTCAATTCGTCTCTGATTTCGGGTGCTTTCACAACCCTGCAGTAAGCCTGACAAAGCAGGTTCCATTTAGCACTTAATGGGTTGTCACTCAAGATCGGAACTCCGATTTCGTGAATCAATGTTCGCGCATTGAATGTGGCAACGTAATTGGCACATAGTTTAGCCAAAACGGGAACAACTAAATGACACTTTGAGACTATCAAGCGTGGCGAACCTTTGAACAGAGCTCTTAAGGCATTGCAAGTCGTATCAACTTTTTCCTGATACTGCTTCAGGTCATTTCTGATCTCTGATTCAGTCGCCAAGGCCGCGTCAACTATCTCTTGCTGTTTCTTGGTAAGCTTCTTTTCGGTGCCTTTAAGTTGTTTTGAAAGTTCTCTGAACGCTTTTTCTTCTTTCCAGCTTATGCTTTTGTCTTCCCTTTTGAAATTTTTTGACTCTTGGTCAATTCGACTAATATCAACCCATACATTTTTATCCCACACCGTTCCTTCAGGAGTCTTAAAAATTTCGTATTCGTCCTTTGAAACAAGCTTGTCGCAACAGCTCTCCAGAAACTGAAGAATCTTTTCCATTACTGGATTGACAAAACAGTCGCCGTAACATGCTGCCGATGATTCAAGGACACCAGTATTGATTTCATGAATTTCCGTTTTGGTGAGAACGTCTCGTGTAACAATAAGTCCTTGTTCACTATTCGTTATCTTGACTGAGTCGCATAAGTTTTTCCACGTTTTCCCGCATACCTTGACTTCCTGCTGATTACAGAGAGTCAAGAAGTCCGCACAAAGGTTTCTTTTAGAATCGGGATCCCAGTTTGAATTCACACATGCATGTATTAACTCATACATAGCTCTTCCCTTTTCTTTTTGCTTGGGAAGTCTGCTTATGTCAGGCACATATTCTCGGTCGAAAAAGGCATTATCCAACTCAGCATAGTAATCAGTCCAAATTTCATAAACAGATTCGGTCACAGATGAAACAACTGTTTCACTTGAGAACATACTTGCCACCCGTCTGATAACTTTCAATGCTTCTGATCTCACCGCGAAATTGCGATGAATGGCCAGAATCGCCAAAACACTAAAAATTGTATCGTCTGCTTCTACTACTTTTTCCAACCGCAGAACAGTTTGTTCTAGGATAGCTATCAATTCTTTCATGTTGGACGCTGGTTGTATTTTGAGAATCCTCATCGAATTAACAACATCTAATTTTTCCAGGAAAAACTTGAGGATTGTTGTTACTTTGGTTGCTTCATTGTCGATACTCTTGCTTGCAAGAAGTAGGTCAACACTTAGATCATGTAGAGTATTAACAGTAACAGTGGCATTTTGCTGCTTCGAAAGATACTCGAGCCTAAGTGGCAGCAATTCGGCAAGCTGCTCTTCGAAACGTGTTTTTTCAGACAGTTTGAGACACATTTTGGCGAGCAAGGTTTGTGTCTGTGGATTAGATTGATTACAAGTTGGAGCCTTCAGCCACGCAAGAAACTCAGGACTGATTTTCTTACTTATTTTTCCTGTCCATGTAAGCATGCATTGAAGAATACTACATTGCAGTAACAATGCATCGCTTGATTTCACAAGTTTTCCAATTGACATCAGACAATTCGCAGCTAACTGATCAATTTTGGACTCTGGCACTGAATTCGACGCCAATTGCGTGGCGAGATCTAGTATCAGTTGTTTCTGAGAAGCTGTGTTCAATTTTTTGTCACTTTTTCCTGCAAAAACAGAGCATAACTCGCCACAAAACTTATCCAAAAACTCCCATTGAGAGCTATTTTTGATAATATTTTGCATAACTCCCAATGTTGTGATGACGGTTTCTTGTGATTGTGAAATGACGAAATCGAAAAGCGTGCTGAAAAAGTCAACTATCTTTTCACTGAAATCGATTTTACAAGACTTCATAACAATTGCTACCGAAGGCAAGGCTTTCTCAGCGTGCCTCGTCAAGGTTCGTTTTAACTCGGGCCAAAGAAATGTCATGAAAGATTCAAAATCAAAATTTTTAACCAAATCGGAGCAAAGTCCAATCTGATTGTTCAAACTTGCCGAGCTACAAAGAATTCCAACAGATTTTGAACATAATTTCAAGTCTGGTGAGCAAGAACTCTGCGTCTTTTTAGCTTCAAACTCTTTAATAGACAGGTAGAGCGCTAAGAACGCAATTTCCTTTGGGTTTTCAGACGCATTTTGTACCAACTCAGAACACTTATCGAACAATGGATGACAACCTGAAAAGGTGTACATTAAACAGGTCTTCAAAGAAAAATAATAATCTTTCTTTTTCACGTTTTTGAGAGCGGTGTTCAAGAGTAATTCAAATGTTGATGCAAACACAATTATTTGTTTGCTCGTGAGCGGCTTGTCCGGGTTTGATTTTCCATAGAAAACTATTGAGCGTGAAAGAAGGCGCATTACAGTCAAACAGTTCTGAGAGCTGAACTTATTAAAGGAGCTCGATTTTGTTGTCAAAATCAGAGCTTCCAAAACGCTCTGCGTAAAACCTCTTTTCAAACTATCGGACAGAACCCTCGACAAATTTTTTGTTTCAGTCGGTTGCATCAAATGCAAAGTTGACAACAATTTCTTGTACAAATCTCTGACGTCTTCAACAGACGCAGCTTCCGTGTGGCCATTTACTAATTCAGATAGAATCACCGGTGACACGATGTCACCTTTCAAATTTGTGTCTTTAATAGCATCCCCGTAGATGGGCGATGATTGGTTCTTTGCTTTTGATTTTTGAACTACCATCATCAACTGAAAACAGCAATTTCATATATGATAGTAAGGTGTTACTGTTATTAGCAAAGATGTCAAAAAATTTGCAAATAGCGTAGGCAGAAATGAAAATAAAAGGACAGCCACAGTAGGGTCAGTAGACGACTTGAGGAGATATTGTATAGGATGTAAGAGCAGTGTAAGCTTTAGATCAAAGATTGAAGCCTGTGAGAACAGTCTGGACTGATACCACTTGAAATGGGAAATTGTTAATGATAGCAAAAATGCCTAAGCAGAGATAACAAAATGAACACTTTAATTGCAATGATAAACAATAACATGATGCAAGTGCAGGTCATGCAATTTATATCATGTAAAATAAATATTTACAGAATAAAAATGTAACAAAAAAAATTGTGTCTTCAAAAAACTTTAAATCGATTCCAAGATGTTTTTCCATACGTTGTCATGGAGTGATCTTCATTGAAAATAGATAGAAAATAATTCTAATATTTTGTAACAGTCGGCTACTTAAGTCACATATGAGGCTAAAGAAAAATAGGCCCTATAACCATTGGCTCAAGAGTCAGGAACACTATCTCTTGTGTTTTCCCACCTCAAACGGTCGGAGCCAATTCGGTTCACTTGCGACATGAGACTAAAACCTTTGTTACAGCTTGACGGCCACTACCAAAATATCCCCCCACTCTAGAAAATAAGAACGTCCCCATACTTAGGTCTCAAAATACCTAAAATACGCGAACGCCGTTAAAAACAGGGTCGGAACAACCCGTATGGTTATGTGCCAGTCGGTCATATTTGGAAGTTTGATCTTGAGGAATACGGACTACGTAATTTTGGGGTGAAATGTAATTTTCCAAAAATTCGAATTGAGCCTGTCATGCTCAACTTTCTCGCGAAAACTGAAAATCTCAGAAATACAAGAGCAGAACGACCAAAAAACGCGGGAAAGTGGTCAAATTTAGCAGCGGGAAATTGCTGTTCGCAATTTCCGACACTTAATCGAACGAGAGTAGAGCTGTCTCATTCGTGACAGGAGACAGAAAATAATCGAAAGTAAAAGAACATCGAAATTCAGTTGGACCAGAGTGAACCTTCGGTGGAAAGGTAGACAACCGAAGTCTTCCAATGGTTCAGATCAAAAACTACAAATTCTCAAGTGAAAACTCTTTTACTTGGATTGGAATTCATTAAAAGCAAACTTCTCAAGTTATATCCAATAATATTCATACTAGAGTTACTGATTAATTTAGTTACCTCAATTCTCGAATGCGCCGATATGTGAGTACTCAATTTAGATTTCTTGAGTGTATTTTATGATTGCTATGTTGAGGTAAGGAGAGTTTTAGGTTGATCCATCTGAAATGGATCAAAGTTCCACTGTCTAATAGAAAGTAACTATACAGACTGTTCCGACCCTGTTTTTAACGGCGTTCGCGTATTTTGGGTATTTTGAGACCTAAGTATGGGACGTTCTTATTTTCTAGAATGGGGGGTATTTTGGTAGCGGCCTTTAAGCTGTAACGGGTTTTTAGTCTCATGTCGCAAGTGAACCGAATTGACTCCGACCGTTCGAGGTAGAAAAACACAAGAGATAGTGTCTCTGACTCTTGAGCCAATGGTTATAGGGCCTATTTTCTTTTTACCTCATATGTGACTTAAGTAGGCGACTGTTACATAGTGTTTTTATGTTGCTCCTGGGTGTTTTTACGACATCAAGACTACGGAGTCGAACCCACTTGACACAGCTCCGGGCTACATGCCCATTCTAGAGTACCGGTGATACGGTTCAGCGGGAACGTGTAAGCCTTCCGGTTGTACCGTGATAGCTTTTTAAGAAAACTCGAGAAAACCTCCTGGTACGCTCTGCAATTGAGGCTTAGCTAACCGACTAAGGGGGGGGAACTAGGGGGACGAAAAAACCAGCAAAAAAAACCGAAAAAGAATAGAAAAAGGAACAAAAACCATAGAACAAAAAAATGACAGTGACTTTGACACCAGATTAATTGGATCAATTAATTAAATAGTATACCCATACTGTTTTTTATAAGACCGATCGTTTTGATCAATTCAGCAAGTTAATAAGGTGCCCGAGTGTGGGGCGTTGTTAAGAGTTTTCAGATAGCTTGCAACTTAGCTGGACCATTAGGAGACTTGACTGGAACAGGTGACCAGCCAAGTGGGAAAATGGTGCTGGTGATCAGGTGCAGGACACGTCAAGGAGACAACCAGCACGGAATCAGAACAACAAGAGAGGACGGGGGTGTTCTCAAGTTGGTCAAACGGGTATCGTTAAAATCCACATTACATTATAGGAGATAAGTGTAAAATTAGATAAGCGGAACGCCACTGTTTTGAGGAACGTTTTTACTCAAGCAGAGCCTGGAAACAGGTTCTACGATTTTCTCTCAAGAGGTTTAGCACCCGGCGCTTAAAGTAATTTTAGCACCCGGCGCTTAAATAAGAGGGGGGCTAAAGAGGGGGGATGTCAAAAGGGGGGGGGGCTGAATAGGTTAGAGGTTGGTGGTTGTAAATTGTAAAAAGGGGGGACACATTAGAGTAACTAATTGATCGACATCGTCGATTTAGTTACATTAGAATCTTACATGCGTTGATTATAAGAAGCGGATATCCAAATTTAAGATTGAATTAAGGTAGGTACTCTGGTCGGATCGGGTGGGGGGAACGGAAGTATACAGTTTTTGTGATACCCCATAAGATTGCTAGCAGGGGGGAGGAAAACGCGTGGCAATCAGTTACCAGACGTTTTTTCTAATAAAAGGTTGACACAAGTCACTTTTGAATTTTAGGTGAGTTTATCCCTCTGTTTTTATTATTTTTCCCTGTTTAAATTTTAACGTTTTTAGTAAAAAATTTTTTGATTGGTTTTGAACAAATAGGTGATCACAAGACACCCCCGAACAAGCTGGGTTTCAACTTGCACCAAAATATTAAAACGGAGATAAATACAGGGGGTTAATAGTTCAAATTTTTGGCCAGTACGGTTGGGTTTTGTTTGGGATTTTTTTTTACTAGAGCTCAAGTGGTGGTACCAGGTACAGTGGTTCAAGAGTCCTGACAACGAAAGAGAAGAGTTCCCACTATCGCAACACTTGGTAGAGAAGTCTTGAGACAGTGCAGTCTCGGGACGGTACAGTCTTGGGACGATAGTCTTGGGACAGTGCAGTCTAGTCTTGGGACGGTGTTCTTGGGGCGGTACAGTCTTGGGAAAGTAGTATTGGGACAGTGCAGTCTTGGGACGGTGGTCTTGGGACAGTGCAGTCTTGGGACGGCACAGTCTTGGGACAGTAGTCTTGGGACAGTAGTCTTGGGACAGTGCAGTCTTCGGACAGTGCAGTCTTGGGACAGTGCAGTCTTGGGACAGTACAGTCTTGGGACAGTACAGTCTTGGGACAGTGCAGTCTTGGGACGGTGGTCTTGGGACGGTGCAGTCTTGGGACAGTAGTCTTGGGACAGTACAGTCTTGGGACAGTAGTCTTGGGACTGTACCAAGAAGTCCTGGGACAGTACCGAGTAGCTTTGGGACAGTACCAAGAAGTCCTGGGACAGTACCGGAGAGTCTTGGGACAGTGTAGTCTGGGGACAGTAGTCTTGGGACAGTTAAGAGAAGTCTTGGGACAGCACGAGAAAGTGTTCGGACAGTTCAGAGAAGTCTTGGGACAGCACGAGAGAGTCTTGGGACAGTACATAGAAGCCTGGGACAGTACCGGAGAGTCTTGGGACAGTGTAGTCTGGGGACAGTAGTCTTGGGACTGTTAAGAGAAGTCTTGGGACAGTACCTAAGAGTCTTGGGACGGCACGAGAAAGTCTTGGGACAGTTCAGAGAAGTCTTGGGACATAGCGAGAGAGTCTTGGGACAGTACATAGAAGTCTTGGGACAGTACAAGAAAGTTGTGTGACGGTACTAAAAGGTCTTGGGACAGTGCGAAATAGCTCTTGGGACAGTGCAGTCTAGTCTTGGGACGGTGTTTTTGGGGCGGTACAGTCTTGGGACAGTAGTCTTGGGACAGTGCAGTCTAGGGACGGTGGTCTTGGGACAGTGCAGTCTTGGGACGGTACAGTCTTGGGACAGTAGTCTTGGGACAGTGCAGTCTTCGGACAGTGCAGTCTTGGGACAGTACAGTCTTGGGACAGTAGTCTTGGGACAGTGCAGTCTTGGGACGGTGGTCTTGGGACGGTGCAGTCTTGGGACAGTAGTCTTGGGACAGTACAGTCTTGGGACAGTAGTCTTGGGACTGTACCAAGAAGTCCTGGGACAGTACCGAGTAGCTTTGGGACAGTACCAAGAAGTCCTGGGACAGTACCGGAGAGTCTTGGGACAGTGTAGTCTGGGGACAGTAGTCTTGGGACAGTTAAGAGAAGTCTTGGGACAGCACGAGAAAGTCTTGGGACAGTTCAGAGAAGTCTTCGGACAGCACGAGAGAGCCTTGGGACAGTACATAGAAGCCTGGGACAGTACCGGAGAGTCTTGGGACAGTGTAGTCTGGGGACAGTAGTCTTGGGACTGTTAAGAGAAGTCTTGGGACAGTACCTAAGAGTCTTGGGACAGCACGAGAAAGTCTTGGGACAGTTCAGAGAAGTCTTGGGACATAGCGAGAGAGTCTTGGGACAGTACATAGAAGTCTTGGGACAGTACAAGAAAGTTGTGTGACGGTACTAAAAGGTCTTGGGACAGTGCGAAATAGCTCACCGCTCAATTAAAAGCAAAGGGACCCGTCAGAACGAGTAAAATCAAGAAAAATCTACTCTAATAAGATCACGAATTGAAAATTTATTTTACTTAAGGGAATTAGTAATATATTTTTGAATTTTTATCCTTATAATAGAATTTTGTAAATAAGAATATTAAAAATAGAGGCAATTGTAAATAAAAATCATGAGGCGGAGTAGAGTACCGATAGCAGAAAGAAGAGTTATAGAGTCAAAGACAAATTATAACTCGTCGAGACGAAAGGTTACACCGTTTGACCCAAGAATAACAGGAGAGAACTTT